GTATGACAATGTTCATAAATCTAGCATCTTTATTTCAAGAGTTATCTCCTCTTTAAGAATTTTGCTTTAAAAAATGTTATATTTTGGTAAAAGGGATGTCTCCATCAGTCTGTTTGTCTGTGTGTTCATAAAAACTGTTTCCTGAGATCACTTTTAAAGATTTTTTCCAACAAATACGTTCACTTAAAATAGAGAAAAGTTGAAACATTAGTTTACTAGGCAGGGAAACTTAACACATTACTATGATACAGACAAACTTAGAACTCAAAAGATTAAAGTTCATTAATGTCATGACATTCATTCATTCATTCATTCATTCATTCATTCGTTCATTCATTCAATGCTATGATTGAATGGCCAATGGCCCATCAGAATGTTGTTTGGGTTCTAACCAGTAGGGGACTTATGGATTGCTTGCAATACTGTGATAATTGCTTGTTGTATTCATGAATAACTTTCCGGCTAAAAAACAAACATTGGGGATATTGATAAGTCTGCACAGATCCATGGGATAAAAGGTTATTTGGGTTTCATGTGTAATCCTTTTATGGGGTGCTGTTATAAATAGGATCAAAATTTCAAATAGCACCTTCTTGTGAAATACTTGATTGATTCTCATCAAACTTTGTCTGGTACATCATTACAAAGTCCTTGCTGTTACTTGTTTTTAAGAGTCACTTGGCGCATTTAGGCAATTTTTGATTTGTGAAGGGACAACAAGAGCTGTCAATAGATAAAATGTATAATGAATCAATTGAGGGATATTGACATCGGATTTGATCTGTAGCTTTACTGACAGAGCCAGAAGCAAGGTCAGGAGCATATTCTTGAGAAATTCAAGTCTATTTTAGTCTCATCTTCAGAAAGAAGAATTGCAATTAATAACTTAATCTTTCATAATTTTTTTCCAGTCATTCAAGGACCAAGATATTTTTGAACAGTTCAGCAAAAATTTAAACGGTGTAATGGAGGACAGTGATCTGCTGCAAAATCATATTGAGAAACTGCGGGTTTGTTGTCGCATTTGTGGAAATAAAGTTGGAGAGAGACCATACAATAAGAACATTTTTAAAGAAGAGCTACAATGTTTATACAAAATTGATATTGAAACAGATAGGACAGATATTCATCCAGTTTTTATTTGTAGAGAAGATGCTCGCGAATTATATCGAGTTCGTGAAAGCAAAAATATATCTTTTAAGAGACGTAGAAGTGTTGCAACAGATTTTTATCCACATTCTTCTTCCTGTGACATATGCAAACCTAGAAATTCTGGACGACCTAGGAAAAAGACAGTGTCAAAAGATCTACCAACAGATTCTCTAAGGCATTCTCAATTTCAAAATTTGGAAAACCCAGACCTAACAGCCAGTACATCAACAGCCTCTGACCCGCCAAAGGGGTTTTCATTTGCAGTTCTCCATCAGGTCAGGGATTTACTTAAAAGTCTTAATGTGGATGACAAGAAAATATTTTTTCAGGAATTTGTGCAAGACCTGTCTACTGATGATACTAGTCTGTTGTCTTATTTTCTTGGAAGATCTGTCAGCAAAAGTGCTAAAGATGATTGTGAGTCATATAGTTTGCTATACAAGGATTTACAAGCTGTAGCCAATATTGATATACATAGATGGTTGATAAACAGAAATCCCAACATTATTTTATATCTCATGGGACTTGGAAACTTCTCAGCAGATATTCTTGAAATAAAAGATGACAGGACAAAACTTTTAACCATAGCGAGGGCTGTTGAACATCTATATATGATTCCTTGTCCATCAACAATATCGCCTATATCATTTTTATTGAATGTTTGTAATTATGCAATAACAGGTAGTAAAACCACTGTTGATATGTATGGAAGTTCTAGTCCTGGTGGTCACTACAAAGCTGTTACACAGTGGCTGAAAGAACAAGGTACAGTTCCAGCTGTTTGCCCAGAAGGAGATTTATTAAATGTATTTGACAATGAACAGATAATTGGCAAATCATATACAATTAAACCATCAAATAAACAAAAAATTTCCGTCATTACAAATAAGGGTGTCGTGTCACTTCAGTCATCAGAATCAGTTTCAATGATACAAAACAATCCTAACTTAAAACCAAACTTAGTTCTGGCAGAAGATAATACATATACACTTACAAATGAATCAAAAAAAGATCTAAATGAGGCTGTCAAAGAGATGATAGAACAGAGTTCTGAAAGATGCAAACAGATGGAAAAGCTTCACTTTGAACAATTACATGTCTCAGTACATGAAGCCATCAGTATTGTTTTAAATGAACAGAGACTGGTTGATGGCCAAGTGCATGATCAAATAGATGAAAAAATGGCTGCAGATTCAATTGATCAAACCTCTATTAAATGTGTAGATTGCGGAACTGAGAATTCAAAACGAAAACTTGTTTGTTCTGGATGCAACAATAGAGGTGGAATAAAGAAGGCAAAAGAACAAATGAAAATGGGGCTAGAACAACCAACAAAACCAGAACCAACCTTTGCTAGAATCACCTTTGAAGACAAAGATGGATGTACTGAAATTAAAGAATCATCAGTTAGATATGGTCATATAACGTCTAATCACAAGGGCAAGCATGAAATCATACTAACGGATCCTGTGTTTTGTAACCCTAATAGCTTTGAGACTGTTGCAAGTGTTTTACGCAAAATAGGAATGGAAAATGGAATAAAATTATATGGAGGGAACAAAAGGCATTGGACTTTTGTATGTTGTGATGGCCTGCCATACATGATATGCAAGAAGTTAAAGGAAGAAGCAGTTATTTGTCTCCAGTGTAATCAGAAATTTCTTAGAAGGACTGACTTTGTAAACCATGGTAAAACAGACCACCCTGACTTGGAGGAGTGTCCTTTTTTGTTTGAATTTGATTGGTTTTTTTTAAGAATTGGAGCTGGACATTATGAAATGAACCTAATCAAATCTTTCATTGAGCTGAACTGGGTACCATTTTTTGAGACATTAGCAGAGCGAATGGGTTTTGTATCTAATGCAGCAAAATTGTATGCTAAATCTTGTAAAGATCACCATAAAAGCTGGACACTTTTGCAGATATTCCATCAGGGTTCACTCAGGGAACTTGTACTACCATATGTTCGACAATGCTTATTGAATGGTGAGAAGCCCTTTGCAAAAGGTTTCTTCAAATTCTCCAATGAACATTATACAACACATAATCCTAATATGAAGTATCTAATGGACCAAGTTTGCAGGTTTTCTCAGGGTATCATAAATTTTAGGATGGCTGTAAGAAGAAATAACTCCAGTCTTCTTAAAAGTGCAAAGTTTATGACAAAAGAGTTGTTTCATGGAAGGTCACATCCAAAGTACCAGAGCATAGAAATTTATGATACTCTGCAGGATATTCTCATGCCAAAAGAAGTGCAGACATTAAATGACCTGTATTCATCAATAACTACAAGTGGAAATACATCAACAGGTCAGGATTTTGATTTTGTACTGGAGGAAAAAAACAAACAGTTGAAATCCTGGATACCAAAAGGGATGCCTACAGATGAAATATGGCAGACAGTTTGCAGGAACAATTCAATTTTGGAAAAGATTAAAAAAAACACACTCTCCTTGTTTGGCATAGGATTAGAAAGCAATGCATTCAGACATATTGATATTGAGAAAGCAGTTCAAATATTGCAGTCTGTTTTCAGAAGAACTGGCTACCTTATGAAGACTGGAGATCATACATCATTGCATGGGCTTGCCTTAGATGAAAAGTTAATTGACTTCTATGCTGAAAGCACAAAGAAAAGGATTTACAATGTACAACGGGAAATTTTGAAAGAGGAGAGAGACGATAGTTACTTCCTCCGGCAGCCAGTTCCAGTGACTCCAGATGAAAGAAGAGACTACCTAAGTATAGAGAGAATGACAATTGATGAACTTTCAAGACAAATTCAACAAATTCTTGGAACAATACCTGACACATTTCAATTTCAATACCACAATCAACTATTTTATACTGAAAAGAAAGGCTGGAAGAAAGAAAACTATGTTTCCTTCCTACAGGAATTAGCTGATGCAATATCCAAGCAAAGCTCAGATATTGGTATGAACCATACATGTATATATTTACTTCCCCAAAAGCATCAAATCTCTATCAGATAGTTTCAATTTTCTTCAGTCAAGCTGGTCTTTAGTGTCCTTATACTTGTGTATACACTTAAAGCTTGTTAAATGGTCCTTTTATGCTAGATGAGGACAACATATAATTTCCCATGAATTGCAAGATGTTTTTTTTTAGAATATCAATTTTTATTTGTACTTTTATATATAGCAAAAGTAAAGAGAGGCTTTAGTCAACCAGTGAATTTACCTTTTTAAAATTTTAACAATTAATCAACTTGTAACAAGGGGTGTATATATATGGAGATCAATTTATAATTAACAGTTAATAAACTTTATGTGATAACTTGACTTGCGATTATTGGTATATATAAAGAAAAATAAAAAGATGTATACACCAGTATTTATAAACAGGGTGTCCATATTTAATATGATTAAATTTAGAACATTGATTTTTAAAAAATCTCAACATCAGGTATTTTGACATTATGGCATGTAGAAACTACATATCAAATGATTCCTACTTTAAAAATAAAGATCCAATTCAGTGTGCAATAATTAGTGTGAATTGCTATTTATTGAGATTTTCTGAAGTTTAATAATTACAGAAAAGTGATAGATAGAATTGTCATATGAAATGTCAATTATTCTTAACCTTATTGATATTTGCATCGGACAATGCCTAAACAAACATTTAATGTCTTATTTGATTTTCAAGAAGTCTCCAGCAAAACATAACATATGGATTCAAATTCTCTAAACACAGCATTATTAATTGCCTTTCTGAACATATACAGCATGCTCTTTTATCCTGTCTGTAGGTGCTGATTGTTTAATTGACTGATCCAAGCTGAGCAAGAATGGTTAAATGACAAATTATTTCTTTGTTTTTTTCAGATCAATAACAAATGGAGGAAAAAACTTACAGAAGATTGAAGCCAGGGATGGAGAAACAGAATATTACTGAGGAAGAAAGGCAATTAAACAAAAAACAGGCCCAGCGAATGAGAAAATCCCGGCTTGTTAATCAGCTAAAAAGAATAAATAAAAAATTGTGCAGCCTTAAAAAAGAACCTGTTGATGCTTTGTTCATCATCCATGAGAAAAGACGAAACAAATACAAATATTTTGGGAGTGGAGAGCTAGTGAAGAAATTTGAAAAGGGAGAGGTGCTTATGACCAGCAAGGTTCAGAGGTCAAAGGTCAGGCAGGTTATTGAACAATCAGCAGTTGAAGAACTTACACCTGGGAAGTACAACTTTCCATTTACCTACGGTGCTGGGGAAACCATTGCCAAAAAGCAGCAACTAGAACTTAAATCTGTCAGGATTGAAATTGACAGAAGGTAATTGAAATTTATATGATTTAGTTGTGTAAAATTGATTTGTTTATATGTTATGACAAGAAATGATACAAAATGATAGCTAATTCATTCTGCTTTTAATATTAAGATTTTTTTTGGAGTGACTATAAAATTTTACTTCTTCTCTCTTAATGCTAACAGAAAAGATGAAAATAATTTAAAGTAGATCCGGTCACTTCAGATTGCGTAGAAATAGGTGCAGAAAATGTTTATGCAGATATTAAATAAATAATTTAATAGCTTTTTGTATTCATAAAATTACATTGATATTACAATATTTTATGAACATATTTGATGTAAAAAAAATAAACCAAGTCAATTGATTTCTACATCTGTTTCAGTGTTGTGGCCAAGAAAATGAAGCTTGCTATTAAGTCAAAGAAAAGTCTTTTTACTAAGTAAGTTGCTATTTATTTGTCCATCACCAAAACAATAATGTTTCTATATGCAGGTCATGTGATGAACTGAAATGAAAAATAATTTTTAGGTCCCTTGCTTAATTGCTTGAATTATTTTCAAGTTCTGTGTGAAATTTTATCAGGGCAAGATGTAATTTTAATTCTACTGTTAACTTCAGGGACTATATTCTTGAATAAGCAATGCATTTTCTTGAAGATTATCAAAATAAATACATTTTCAATATGTGAGAATGCTTTTACTATTTCCTACTTTATATATGCTTATCAAAACTTTCATGTTTAAAACTTAATATCAAAGCTGTTATGGTTATTTTTTTTAGAAAATGCAATGGTGAGGATGCTACAAACAAGAACAGCAAATCAAAGGAAAAAAACAGGTAAGTGTCTTCTTTGTAACAAAATAATAAATCAAAGCACAGAAGGCGCTGAATTTGTTTGGGTCTCAGAATGTCAGGAAGGGGAAGGTTGTAGGATTATAAACCAATTTGTTTGCATAGTTTCACCAATGATGTTTCTAGTGTTATTACTATAGTAAATTGGCTATTAGACTAATTGCAACACTGATATTCAATTCAATGTTTATTTGTTTAAACAATTAAAAAAATGAGTTGCCTGAACTGGGATTTGAACTCAAGACCTCTCGCTTTCAAAGCGAGCGAGTAAACCCCTCTACCACGGGGAGTTATGAGATCTTTGCCTGAAGAATACCACATTATTCTAAATTAGAGTTTGTAACTCTTATTAAATTCGATATATTTTATTCACGGTAAACATGTTGTTTAACACTGAAGTAAATAATCATGGAGCTGAATATAAGCATGTATATCTATAAGAAAAACACAATATTAGAAATCTTCGACCAATCGGGAACTATTGTTTCGTTACGAAAATTAATGCGTCTGTCATTTGACAATCTTGATCTCCCCTTAATTTTTCGGCGTTAATATACATATGAAGGGAAGTAACTGCTTCGAGGAGTTTGGACTACTTTCGGCATTTGCAAATAAGAACATCAGGGTCTGAAATTGCGCTACCATTATTTGTTTGGTCTGACAATCCAAACAAATAAAAACAAATGCTGTAACTGTAGAGTTAGATTACTTGACATTACCTTGTTTACACAAGAAATAAAATGGCTAAACATTAGACATTGTCAGACATCACCACTCCTGAATTTTCTAAATGATATAGAGGATATTTGTTTAGTTCAGTGTAAGATCGGAATATATTTCACCGAGTGAGCACGTAAAGGTATATTTCACGAGTGGCGCAGCCACGAGTGAAATATGAACTTTTGGTGTTCACAAGGTGAAATATATCTCGATCTTACACTAAACTAAACAAATTTTCTTTTTATTATATGCAAAAAGAAACATTTTAAAAAGACATTAAACCTAATACTGAATGAAAGCGCGCCAACAATAATAATACAACGTGACGTCATTTACGACGTCACGTCATTAAGTTGGTACCCAGTACTGTGCACGCTGGTATTTCACTGAAACAACGTAAGGGGCTTAAGTTCAAAACAATGAAATTATCAAAAGTGGTAATTTCACTGTTTCAAACAGTGAAATTACCAGTTTTAATTCACTGATATATTTCTATAAACAATCGAAAAGCATGTAATAAATTAAATACTCTCACTAATAATAACTATGTTTGTGATTATTTTATCTAAACAGTACATTGTATATTTTGCAGTGGGAAGAAGATAAAGCCCTGTACAACTGCAACTAGGGTTGAGACAAGTTCAGAATTAGACCACATTTCTATGACCAAAGATCTACCAGTGACTGAACCTGTTGACAGTGAGATGCCAGATGTGAGTCATTCTGAATTGTATGAATATCAAATAGAGACAATCTACAAAGTAATAGAACATAATTAAATTTTCTTGAGCATATAACAACATTTTAATCATTTAATAAATCATCCAAAGAATAGAATTCAAATCATGCTGTAAATTTGTACTTTATGGTGGTCAATCAGATTTTCTTCAACTTGTGGATTCGTTTTATATCTTTCCACTCTGAATTATTTACTCAACCAAGGTTTTCAAGCAGCATGCCTCCAGATTCATGATATTTTCTTGAAAATTTTGAAAATGTATTCAAAAGCACAATATTGTAAAGTAACCAACAGGAGGTAATTAACACATTATCAATGGCACTTGCAACCCACGTAACTTACCAAAAAGAAGTTACAATATGCAAAAATAACCCATAGTGCGTTAGTAAAGCTGTAGAAATATTGTTATAAATTCTGAAAAAATAGTCTTAATCTCACAACAGATGTAAATTATAACTTGAATCTTGAATCTTTTTATTTTCTGTAAAATATTTGTACATTTTCTCAAGTTTGATTTTATTAACATACTTTGGCTCATCTGGAGGCATGTAGCTTTAAAATATATTAATGCTGAAGCTGCAGGTTCTTTCAAAACTTGCTTTTGTTTTGTCTAGTTGAAATATTCTGAAATATATCAACCACAAATTAAAAGAGCTTATTTAGTTTTTAACATAATTTGAAGGTGGATAATCAGATTTTGGTCAAAAGTTGGTTTACAACTAAAGCATTGGATCATACTTATTTCTTAATACACATTAGATTTTCAATTGAACTATTTTTAATTTAAAGTATGTCAGAAAATTCAGCTCAACCTGATTGACCACCTCCAAAGAGAGGTCATAACCAAATTTTATTACAAGAAATAATTCATACATTTCTAAATGGGACCTTACTCTATGTTGTGGGTTGATTTATCCCAAAATAATTTTCTTAAACAAGATATATGAAAATCCAAAATGTCAGAAAATATTGCTCAAATGTGATTGATCACCTTAAAGATTATCACTTAAGCTACAGGGCACTTTATGCCTAAGATTTGCGTAAGTTATAACTTATGTCTGTTTGTTTTTTTGTAAAAGCATTTTACTAAAAAATTGCGTAAGAATTTCATAAGTTTTAACGTAAAGTTACGCTTAAAATTTGTTGACTTAAACTTACGTAAGTAAGACTTACATCATCTATGAATAATGGCACAACTGGCAAGCCAAACTTATAGAGACGGATGTGATTGGTAATATATTTTAATGGTAAAAGCGGCTATAGAAAAGTAAAGTCTAAGTAAGGAAAAAATAATGTGGCTTTACAAACTTACTAAAAATTAAATTTTATAAAAAAAAAATACGAATATGGAAGTCGTCCTATCAGCTTAAAGACGAGAGTCTTTTAATCACTATCTTCTTCTCCAAAAATATTTTAATCACTATCTTCTTCTCCAAAAATCTTTTAATCACTATCTTCTTCTCCAAAAATCTTTTAATCACTATCTTCTTCTCCAAAAATCTTTTAATCACTATCTTCTTCTCCAAAAATCTTTTAATCACTATCTTCTTCTCCAAAAATATACTGGTATCACATACGCCCTAAGTCATGATTGACCTCGACCCAATGTATTACAAATCAGTTATTAAGTGTTTTAGATTTACTTTCACAAGCTTTTGATTGTGATTTATTGAGAATTTTATAAATGACATAATTTTATAATATTAACTGAAACTCAGTAAATTTCATTTGTTTTATACTGTATCAAGTGAATGAAGACGGAATAGGAGAGTATCTCAAAGTGATGATGATCTTTATATGTTCATTAAATTGTATGATTTGCAAATGTACATAAAATTATCTGTTGCACTTATTTTTGATGACAAATATTCAGATATCATTACATCTCGAGTGTACGTAATAGTTACACTGCAATGATGACTACAAACTTGAATAGCTTTTGTTTGCTTGTGGCGCTGAACACTTTGTGTCATCTTCATTACGCGTATTTTAGCATATTTTGGTATAACTTCAATGTCATGACGTACCGGGTTTTCGTTAGTTGATAGGCATAAAGTAAAATAATGAAGAAAAAAATACCCGCCCTCCCCCACCAAAAAAAAAAATAATGCGGACAGCAACACAGTTTCTCTATATCACATATTCACTCAAAACAAACGAATATCCTCATGAAAAAAAATATAAAACAGCTATGGAAAATCAGTATGCGCTTAAAAATACGAATTGTCAGTGACATTCCTGGGTGTCCGTAGATGACCCTACAAAAGTCAAGTTTAGCTCTCTTTTTCAAATTTTCAATGTTTTGCGGTCACATTTTAATTGCCTGATAGAAGACCGTTTATTTTATTAAATATTTCCGAAATGCCTCCTTACTGAAGGATTCTTAAAACCTGCATTAAAGAGTTACGAACTATTTTTACTTAAGTTTAGGTAAAAACTTATGAATGTTTTGTGAAACACACTTACAATATACGTAAAGTTTAAACGTAAGCGTACAGTTACGAAAATACTTACGAAAAACTTAAGCAATGCTAGTAAAACGCTGCCCACTGGTGTTTATCTTGTAGTTTTGTAAATTCACAGAATCAAATAACTTTACACATATCATGCTTCTTTGGAAATTATAGGATTTAAATGAAATAAACAGGCCCTATATTCACTCACTTATGTATATCCATATATCTTTTACATTAATGTTTTAATTAAAAATTAAGTGAATAGTTAATTATGCAATAATGAGGTTGGATGACATGTTGATGTTTTGTTTCCAGGCAAACAACTTGACTAACTGGCTGGTAGGGGACTACATAAAATGTTGTTTTAAGAATAGGAAAACAGTTGATTATTATGCAGCCCAGGTAAAGTACCTTTCATAGATCTGCTTTTATTTGTCAGTGATAACTTTGACAATTTCATTTTCTTTAAACAATTTTTTTTTGCACATTATATGTATATATAACTGTCTGAAACACATATATTATACAATAAAACACATTATTAGACCGTTTGTAGAATATGTTCTGGCAAATTACAAGTAAATGCATTATCGTGAAAAGCCCCTTAGTATATGTTATTGTTAATCTGAGCTGTTCTACAGAAACTAGAAACTTTAATGGGAGCAATAGTGACCGGAAAATGTTTCTCATTTCTGTAGAACAGCTACGGATGAATACTAACATATTTAGTGTCAAACTTTATTTGGCCTTATTAATATTCACTTTTTAACGTCACTACAAGTTCACTTAATGTTAAACAATTACCTGAATGGTGGGTTTAAATTTGACCTTATAAAAATGCATGATTTACATCACTTTGCATACGAAGAGGCATGTTCCCTTGTGTTTCAGTTGGGAAATATGCAGGACAGCATAATTTTATTATATTCGATGCGAGTTTTCATTTGCTCGATAATGAAACACTTGTTTCCAACAAACATTTTTGACGAGTTGGACAACTGATCAGTAGCTATTATCTGATTTACACTAAATGACATGTGTTCACACGCGGTCACATAATGTTTTTTCCAAAAACATAATGTCACCTTACACTTTCTGTCTACCGAAAAAGAGAAAGTGAAAAGACACATTTGACTTTCCTCTTAGTTACAAAATAATTAAGACCTTTTCCTACATCCATGATAACAGAATATTAATTGACATTTTGTATTGGTTTTTACTTGTACACGTGCAGTATCTTTTCGCCATACGTGGATTTAAATTTGATCTGCATGTATCCTTTATCTATAAATGCAAAATTAATGTAGGTTGACCTTTTGATGTCATTTTTACTTAATTATTATTCAAAAGTGGCCTACAAAAGCGCATGTGCAAATTTATGCAAATGACTATTTTTACTAACGCGGTTCTATGAAACACTATGAAAAATAGAAGGCAACTATGAAAGGAATTTGATATTAAGTATCGACTTTTGTTCTATGAAAATTAACACACATAATTTTGAAGAAATACAGGGTTTCCATTGGATGACAAATTAAAGTGGACACCAATAATTTGTTCTGTTCAGTTGTAATTGTGCTAGAAAATAATTCTGCCAATAGAAAGATGTTTAGATTAACTTAATTTTTCTTCCATTAACAATTATTCGGCATATGACAATAAAGTGACACTCATCATAATTATAAAATGCATTTTTTGTTCAAAATATGGTATTCCTTGCCATCTCCCCATTTCAAATGGCAATCTATGATTTCTACTAAAATATCGCATAACTGATAGACTATGTCTTGCTGACGAAAAACTGATGTTCGCACATACTTGTATAAAAAAAAATAGTCTTAATAGTTTTGTAAATATTAGTGTGTACTGCTATATGTAAATCAGAATTCCATTTCTGTATTAAGTTGTCTCTTAATTTTTGGCAAAAAAAAAACATTTTAAATTCACCAATTGTCATCTAAGAATGTCTGGCTGTACCACACACCTGAAATTCCTGACAAACATGATAGATACTTAACATTTTCAATCCACATTGACTTTTCAGTACTTGAAACATTTATTTCACATATCATTTTATGAGAAAACTTTTAAAAAAACATTCGGTATATTTTCAAAGAGGTAGTTGCTACATGTACCCATTATCCCTTTCTGTGTAAGCTCAATTTAGTAAATTAGTTAATGGGTTTGAGCCTCACTTTGGACAAAGAATTCATCATGTGAGGAAGCCATCCAGCTGGCTTAAGCAAGGACAATGGTTCTACCAAGGTGACCTGTGTTGATGAAATAATGCATGAATGTGCACCTGGGATATTCCTCTTCCCCTTAAACTCTGCCAGATTTTAAGATTGTGTGGATTTCATATTTAACCCAATAAAACATACTAAAAGTAGTGTTGGGTATCGGACTCAAAAGTCACTATCGATAATCGGATCACCACAGTCGATTGTCTTCCGATAGTATAATCGAGTTTTGCATTTTTTATGGCCCCTTTTCTTTTAAGGTACCAATCCTTGTATGCATTTTTTTATACAATAGTGACCACATTTTGAGAATAAATAAGCTCTTGTCTCCTAGATTAAAGTAAGATTTACTCTTTGAATTCAAAACAAACAACACAAATACATAATACTACTTTGTGACAGTCAGTTTTTTGTATAATACAACTTTATGTCAGTCAATATTAGTGCAAATCAAAAGGTCAAAATATTAATGAGTAGTATAATAGATCACTATTTAACTACAGAAGTGACAGTATATATATAATTTTATAATGTTATGTTAAGTGGAAGGTGTCATATAAATTATGAACAATTAATTACAATGCCGTAGATGTACATTGGCCAGGCCATTCTAAAAAAATATTTGTTTGCAGTAACGCGACCGACTAATTTTTTTTTCGTGGTCTGGATAAAAAAAAATTTTTTTGAATCAGAAAATTATGCCTTGTGCTTTGTTTTCGTTCTGTTAAAGGTTAGTAGAAGAAATAAAATGTAGGTCTTATTAAATTAGAATTCAGTTACCAATTTATTAATTGTTACCAGATTATCAAAGCATATATTGTCCAGCATTTTGAAATTCCATGTTTATTTGGGAGTACAGTTCAATAAAAAAAAAAAAAATCGACCTACCTACCCACCTTGAAAGTTCTGGGTCGGGTTACTGCAAACAAACATTTTTGTAAGGATGGCTCCATTCATTGCATATTATGTCACTTAAACTTGTTATTTCAATGGTTAACAGATATGACCTAAGGCAAGGATTAAATTTATTGTGCTAAGTAAAGAGTTATACATGCTGAAAGTTAAAAAGCGCGGCGAAGATCAATTAACTTTGATGTTCAGGAAACAAAGTTGTTCAAATTGCCCACTTATTCACTAGCCATGTTTTTTTCTGTATTTCTTTTTTGATAAGGCAAACAAAAAAGACTATAGGATCCTCTGGAATTAAAGAGATTTGGTCAGGAAACTTCTATTTGTCCGTGTGTAAAAAAGTTACGCCCTAGGCAATTAAGCGGTGGTAGAACATTGAAATAATCGATTGTTAAAAAGGACTATTGATTGTTGCCGATTTTGGGGTGATCCGATTAGTTATCGATTTTCAGAGACAATAGGGACAACACTAACTAAAAGGTTTTGTCTCTGCCAATTAATAGCTTTTGAGTGCTTTCAAAATGCTTGCCTATTATTGCCTATTATTTATAACCATAATTATGTAGCTTTGTTATAACACATATGTTTCATTATACTGCATCTATGGTACTTACCTGCCATGCATTTTGTATATGGAAAATTTGACCGGATAATATATGTACTATTAATTTACCCACGCACTAAGCTCAGTAGGTAAAGCACTTTGTCTATGGATAAGGGAGTGAGTTTGATCCTCGGGTAGATCATGTTCTCCTTACAATTGGATGAAAGACATGGTTTCTGGCATAATTCTCCCCACTCACCCTATTCATGTGGGGAAGTTGACATTTACTTGAGGAGAACAGGTTAGTACTGGTACAAGAATCCAGGAACACAGGTTAGATTAACTAAGTGCCATTACATGACTGAAATATTGTTGAAAAACTGATTTAAACTGAAACTAAAGAAATAAACAAACAAAGGTTACTATTGTTTTTTGCAATCTGTTATTTTTTGGATATAAGGCTCAGTGATTAAATTCAGAATTGAAATTAAACTCTTTTTCAAAAATGAAATGATTAACCTCTGAATTATGAACTGCTTAAAAGGAGCTATTTAGCCAACATATCTTCTACTTTAAAGCCAATATTTATATTAACTTCATTTAGAATTAACTTTAAATGTCACATTGCTAGTTATTTTCATATTTGGCTGTACCATTAAAATTCTAAATTAAAGTTTTGCTTAATAGCAAGAGATTGCAAGTTGTGGACAATCTAAATGTATTTACCGGACTGCTGTTTTGCTATATGAAACTCGCACCTAACAAGGCATTTTGATGTAAACAAACTATTTTAGTTTTCCATGTGAATGTGTGGTGATGTTAAATATGTTCTATAATATTTCCTGCCTATCCAAATTTGTTGATAATTGAATTTTTAATGAAATTTTTAAGTTGATATTTGGTCAGTCTGTGAATATGTTAAAATTTTAAGTGCAGATTCAGGTAAACATGATCTCTTGGTTTTAATAGTTTTATTGGTTTAAGACTATTACTAGCATTATTTATAGTATTAATATAATATGTTCTATACCAGAGAATATGATGAAAGTGAACTGTTCGGAATGGCTTTGATTTAGTTTGAATTTGTACAGTTATACATGAAAATAACAAGAAAACAATTTAAGAAGTATAAAGCTGTTATCAGAGCTAAATCAGTTTACTTCTCACTACATTCCTGTCATTTCCTCAATGTGTGTATTTTGAATGGTGTTGTTTTGTTATGCAATTTTTTTTTTTTTGAAAGTGCAACAGACAGTAATGTATGCATGGAAACCATTCATATCTACATTATTCACTCTTACATTTCAGGTAGAAGCTCTTGTGGATGGGGAGCCATTTGTGTCTTTCTTCAAAAACTCCCAAATGGACAAAGAAAAACTGAAGAAGGAAATAAAAGAAACCGCTCTTTTGAGGAGTGATGAAATAGTAAAAAAGTTAAATGCACCCAAAGTAGAAAAAAGAAAAAGAAAACTTCTTTATGTGTTTGAGGACTTTTGATAACTTTATAACTTTTTTAGTTTTTCATGGATGTATGTTTCCCTACTTAAAGTGGTAGTAGACATATTGTTTTTGTCCTTTACGTCTGCATGTCATTAAGTTTGTCTGCGCATGTCCTCCGTAACCGCTGGTTGGATTTTAATGAAACTAGCCAAGATACATTGGTACCAAGCAGGGTCGAGCATAGCACAGGTATGTTCTGGTTCAGTGATTTTCAGGAAAGTTATGGCCGTTTATTTTTTCACATTTCACTACATTTGGCTGTCTGGGCTTCTTCTCCATAACCGCCTAATTGTGCATATTTCAGGCATGTTGTCAGTGATTTTCAGTAATATTACATGCATATCCATAACAGCTGGTCCGATTTTTATCAAATCTCACAGGAATGATTGTTACCATGTGTAGTACTGCATATTATTGGCATGTTTAGGTTGGATGATTTTAAGGGGAGTTGTGGCCCTTTGTTCTTTCAAATTTCAGAATATTTGGGCATATCTCCATAACAGCAGGTTGGATTTAGATTGAAATACTGTAACCCAATTTATATTCGCGAATACAAATTTTCGCGTTTTGCCGAGGTCGGACATATTCGCGAATATTAATTTCCGCGTTTTCTTGATTTCCGGAAAAAAAAAAATTCGCGGATTGGAAAGTCCGATGGGGCAGTAAAATCCATTAGCCGACTATTAATCTTCAATAATTGAGGTCAATATTGGTGTCTTAAATGGGATTAACAATACGCTAGCCTTATATTGTTTTGGTAAGTGAATTTTGTCAAACGATTTATTCAAACATTTATTTTAAAATAAGTGCGAGTACTTTGTATGCATATACTTAGTATAGAAGTGTTAAGAAGAAACTTAAAACTGACACATGCTCGGTATAGTACCCTATACGGAACGTGATTGACAATAGGCCTACTAGTATTTCATAAACTGTATTAAAATGTGGATGTTTATTTTGATTGCTTTATTGACATAGAGTTCTTTTGATATTTATAAAATAGTAGTAGTTTACTTAGTTTGTGTTTTTATTGCTTTATGGCAATATTCATAACAATTCATTACTTCCTAACAGGTGCCCGTAAAATTCGAATATATCTGGTCAAGTAGCTTTGCATAACCACGTCTAAAATAAAAATTTCTCTCCAATTTATTCGCGAAATCGTGCGGACTTATTCGCGCAAACAAATATTCGCGCTTCGTGGCCATCCGCGAATAAAGCGAATATTTATTGGTCGCGAATATTCGTTGGGTTACAGTACACAGGAATGATTGTTTAATGTCTGTCGTCTGTCCACATTTGTTCATTAACACTCTACTTGCGAGGTAGTTGCGCGGATGAGTTTGAACATGGATCACCTCGGATTAGAAATTAGGTCACGGGAGCTAAAAAATAGAAAAATCTTTTTAACACTGTAGTGGCTACTGTTTAGATCCAAATATCCTGGAAATTGGTCTAAAAGTGTTTTTTTTTTTTTCATGATTTCTAGGTCAAGTTCGAATATGGGTCACCTACGGTCAAAAACTAGGTCACACTACCCAAATATGAATAAACCTTGTTAAAACTCTAGTTGTCACATTTTTTGACTCAATCATCGTCAAACTTTGTCAGAATGCTTGTCTAGGTAATTGCTTGGATGAGTTTGATGGGTCAGATGAGAAATCTAGGGCCATCTTGGCCCTCTTGTTTACTACATTTTGTAAGACCACCAGTCAAAGTCTTTTTTATTTACTGCATAAGAAATCTCCCACATAGTTATATCAAAGTAATACATCTAATAGAAACCTCTCCTTTGGGTCACAAATGATCACATTCTAATATTATTTAGATTCCTGAGATTAAATGCCAAGTCAATTGTCCAGAAATACAATGACTAAATTTATAGCCAAGCTTTGCTTTTAATACAGTTTGTATGGTAAACAAAACATTTTACTATTCCAATAGAAGTTATGGTGAAATCATATGAAAAAAAGCACAGCAAAACTGATTAAAGAGTAGTGTATGTTAGCAAGGTCAAAAGTGAATAAGCTTAATGACTCCAATAAAAGATATTAGTACCAGAGTAATGTAGTTTCTCATGAAATGGAGTAAAACGAATACTGGTACCAGTCACAAAATACATGAAGTGTCATTCATCCTTCTAGGCTAATAATTTATAATTGCCTTAGACTATCTAGAACATCACTGGCACTGCAAAATAATCAGTGAAGTAGCAAGTGGGATACTATATGAACCCTTTATTATGCATATTTTATAGATAGTGCATTTTACAAAATGTCAGGGTTCCATCATAGGACAACTAGATCAAATCCAACAGAAATTTAGATATCAATAGGATCATTTGTAGGTTCACTGTTTCGCTTTATTAGTTTGTTACTTGATACATCATGTAGGTTACTCATGGCAAAATAATGTAGAACTTTAATTAGTAGATATTTTAAAATTTAGAGTAATATGCCTGCTTCTGGGACAACAATTTGTATAGTCTAGCATTAATATTAGCTGTTTAACATACAGTTCTCAGTAAAGATATGCATTTATTTAAGTACTGACAGTGGACCAGTATCTTTTATACTGCTCTGTAGGGATTGATTTAGACACTAACTCTAATTTTTGCCAATTACTTAGGTGTGTGATTTATGGCCATGACAGTCCTCTTGTTATATAGACATTGATTCACAACCATAGTTACTTTGAAGGGTTTCCATTTAAATCTGTATATTGTGTAAAGGATAATTATGTTACAGATATGCCTTATGGATACAGTGGGAAGTAAAATGATATTTTTTGCACTTTTTCGGTTTTTGATTTAATTCAGCTCATTATGCCTTAATTTATTAGTGAATTAAAAAGTTCAAATATAAGACCTTTATTTTATGAATTTTTAGCAAGAGGGTAAACCTTTAATTCTGTTAGCTCACCTGTCACAAAGTGACATGGTGAGCTTTTGTGACGCTTTTTGTTTGGCGGCCATCCATAAACTTTTACTTTAAACGACATCTCCTCATAAACCGCTAAGCAAATTTCATCCAAACTTCACAGGAATTTTCCTTTTGTGGTTACCTTCAAAGTGTTTAAAAAATTTAATTCCATGCAAAACTTGGGTTGCCATGGCAACCAAAAGAAAAAACTTAAAATATCTTCTTTTAAGAAACGCGAAGAGCTAGAGCTTAGTTATTTGGCATGAAACATCTTCTAGTGAGTGTCTACCAAGTTTGTTCAAATAAAAGCCCTTAGATCAATATTGGCCCCATCTGGGGGGTCATGGATTTTCCTTATATGTATATAGTAAAAAAACAAAAAAAACAATTCTTTTGAAAAATCCAAATAGCTAGAGCTTAGATATTAAACTTGAAATATATTCTAGTGAGTGTGTACAAAGTTTGTTCAAATAAAAGCCCTGGGGTCAAAATCAGCCCTGCTCCCAGGGGTCATTGATTTTCCCTATATCAGAGACATAGTTATCTATGTCTCTGCCTATATGTATAGAGTAAAAACTAAAAGATCTTCTTTAAAAGCTTAGCTTAGATAAAATATCTTCTTTTGGGTGTATACCAAATTTGTTCAAATGAAAACACTGTGGTCAAAATTGGCCCTGTCCGGGGGTTCATTGATTTTTCTCATGTATAATTATAGTAAAAACTACAGTGATGTGATAAATGAATTTACTGTTCATTTTGGGCAATGTTGAATGAAGCTGAAGTATGATCAAAACACTTTTGCCTTTGATGTTAAGGCTATAGCCTCTTTTTTTTATTTTGCAAAGAATAGCCATAAGTGAAGATCTTATGTTTTGTTTTTCGTTAAGATCTGCACGCACCTTGGTAAACTATTCAACAATATTTTGTGTGTTTTAATATAAACAATATGAACCATTGTACATGTTATATTCCAGTTAATATGATATATTTCAATGTGAATGGTACGGATGTATTAAGTTTTGTATTTATCGATTAATGTCTTATGGCAATGTTGTAAATTGACTTTTGTCTCGTGAGTAATTGTCTGCCAGCATTCTTGTTAAAATATTTTTGTTAGTTGAAAAGGTAATTTTTACTTAGTAAAGCTACAAGCTAGATAATTATATTTCCATTCCAAACTATATTATCAAAGCTGTTTTATAATTATTGCGATATGAATTAAAGGATTTTGTCTTCGATACCAAGTTAAAATAATTGTAACTTTTTCAAAGAACATGTTATCATTTATAACGATTAATACCGATCTGTATTGGCACAAGTCAAGAAATTATATCATAATGTATGTATTATTGTAATGGGCCGGTGACCAATATCAATACATAAATTATCATAATCATCATTGTCATTGTAAAATACAAAAAAAGGCTTCTTTTTAAAAAAAAAAACCCAAAGAGCTAGAGTTTAGATATAAAAAAAGAACATGAAACATCTACTATAATGAGTGTCTACCAAGTTTGTTTAAATAAAAGTCCTCAGATTAAAATGGCCCTGCCCCGGGTGTCATTGATTTTCCTTATATGTTTATAGTAAAAGCTTAACAATCCTCTTTTTAAAAAACCCAAGTAGCTAGAGCTTAGATATTAAGCATGCAATATCTTCTAGTGGGTGTCTACCGAGTTTGTTCAAATGAAAGCCCTAGGGTCAAAATTTGCCCCGGCCCAAGGGGTCATTGATTTTCCTATATATACTTATAAAAACAAAAAAAAGGCTCCTTTTAAAACAAACCCAAAAAGCTAGAGCTTAAATGTTTTGCTTAAAAGATCTGTTAGTGAGTATCTACCAGTTTGTTGGTCAAATTTGGCCCACACCATTTCATTATATGTATATAGTAACAACAAAAATTTAAAACAAAAACAAACAAGTAGTCTTACTCAGGTGAGCGGTTTGGGGCTATTATGGTCCTCCTGTTTACAATAGCACCTTGTTAGACACGGATGAGCTATGAAATTATTCACAGCTGATAATGATGCTGGTTTATCCATCTTTATGGAACATTAATGGGAGTTTTATTGGCTTGATGTAAACCCCCCACCCACCACCACCACCCAAATTAAATAATTACAAATAATGAATGAACTGTCAACAGATTAATCATTGAAATTGTACAATAAAGTAGTCTGGTTTGCTGGAAGAAAAGTTAGGGAAATCCAAGCATTAACAAAGGTGGGGCTTAAGGTTTTAGTTAATAAAATAGGTTTTCTTCATTTTCTCAGAACAGGAATTCACAAATATTTTGTAATCTCAAAAGAAACTTGTTGTGCAAACTATTCTAAAAATACAAGCATTAATATTTCATCTTCATTTTGGTATGCTTCACAACAGGTTTACTCTTTAGCAATGTAGAGAAAATGCATGTTAATGCAAGTCACCCCTGTACTTCCCAGTGTATCCTTGAAGATATTTGTTTCATTTGAAATGTTTCTTGTAAATACATATTGCAATATCATTGGTTATTAAAACTGTTTTAAAATTTGATTAAACAAATTGAAGTTGTTGATGTGTATGAATCCTTTGTAAATAATTATGTTGAAAAATCTGACTGCAATAAATTTCATACAACTCTTTATCAGTGTTTTGTTCAGTATTATATCAGAAAGTCAGCTTAAATGCTGCTGGGTGACACTATATGTCTGTTCTCAAAACGTGCTTTTCTACATTGATGAGGTATTGTCGGGAGTGCATGACCTCTCTAACTAGTAACAATAGAATTTTCTTTTGCTAATTGTTTTTGTTCATTTAACTGACTAGAATTTAATAAAGTGGCCATGTTAGCATAATTTAAAGGTGCAATTATCATACCAGCATAATGTGATTTATTAGAAAACAGGAGTGAAAAGTTCATATTTAAGCTGTACCAGAAAACATACAGCATGTTGGAACAGTGTTCTCTTCTATGCATAATCTTTAAACTAGATTATCATCACATCACTTTCGTAATTAATACCAAGTAATCATATATTATATCACTGAAAAAGAGTGAAGAAAGATAGTATTTGTGTGCACACATTTAAGTAGGTATATAACATTTTTATGCTCCCCGAAAAATTCCGGGGAGCATTTAGTCGCCGCCTTGTCCGTCCGTCCGTACAAACCCAGAGGTACTTGTGTGACTTGGAGAACAATGGGTAACAGTAAATTATCTTTGATCCTATACATTTCGTTTTTACTTGTGTGTCTTTTTTAAGCCTTTTGTGAAAAGATCAAAGGAAAAGTCACATAAGTACCATATTGTGAGTATGTCCGTCCGCCCATCTGTCCACACTCACAGGACAGTAATTATGTGGCTAGAGGGACTTTGTAGGTAGATAGGTCTCATTGGGTAGAAGTGCAGTTCTAAAGAATCATAATTCTGCCTTGCCTTATTTTGAAGTTATCGCCCTTTGTTTATTTTGACTTTTGTAAGGGACATAACTCTAAAACTATTAGAGATATCAAGATTAAACTTTGTAGGTAGATAGATCTCATTGGATAGAACTGCAATGCTAAAGAACCTCAACACACCCTTTCTAATTTTGGAGTTTTTGCCCTTTGTTCATTTTTACACTTTGAATTTTACCTGGGAACTAAAAGAGATAGCATCACGAAACTTTACAGATAGATAGATCATATTGAGTAGAAGTGCAGTGCAAAAAGGCATAACTCTGCCTTGCCTAATTTTGGAGTTTTTGCCGTTTGTCCATTTGTTTTTGTCCATTTGTTCATTTTTCTTATACTTTCCTGTGTCCAAAACCTCGGGGAGCATCACCCGGTTCAACCGGTTCTTGTTTTTAAAAAGACTGTTGCAGAGTTAAGGCTGTTGACTTTTTCAGGGTTCTTTATAAGGATCGGCGCCGGCCTATTTTACCGCCTGAAACGGAATTTCGCTAGATACAATTTGTCCAGTGACCATAAGAAAAATTTCCCTTATTTTGAGTGATTGAATTACATGTATCATAAATTTTAGACCATTTTGGGCGTAAGGCATTCCGAGGTTCCGGGTAATGATCCGTGAAAATCGAGAAAAATTCGCCAAAAATGTGCATCGAGTTTTCATATCGGTGTGTACCGTTCGAAAATTCGTCATACTCCCGTTAATACGTTAACAATTGCGCAGATAATACAGTTGACGGAACATCGTAAATAAATTAGCTAATGGCGGGTGTCAATTACGCCACGCGTCGATACACGTAGTCAAGTCGATCATTATTATCAAAGGAGTTAATTGATCAATGGTTGCTATACCAAAATTGAGATATTGCCTATCTTTCAGACCATACCCCGTGAAATTCGGTTTTCCTCTGAATTCAATGAAATAATTAAAGTTAACCATTTTTATGGACAATATAGATGCAGTACATTTGTAATAACTTTTTATCTTGATCACTTTAAGCGGGCATTGAAAATTTCGTGCAGCTGTATTTTTACAATTGCATAAGCACGCTATCGGGTCAATCACGGACGTTAATTGACTTAACATTTAAGTATGTCGGTCAATTTCCAGCGGTACAGTTAGAATTCTCTATTCCTTTCATCAATATCGACGAAAAGCATAGTATTTATCGCCTTAATCTTTTACCACCTAATTATCAATCACTCATTTTTCACGCGTTTAGCATAGTAGCGCAGTTGTAGACTGGTCGCTTCGTGCTTGCAGAGAAATAAACTGAGTTTTTGTTTTGTTTTTAGGTTATCTACAACAAACTGGATTTTACTTCCCCGTGAATTTTATTCACACAATGCTATTTGAGAACATTTATTCATACAGAATGGTTAAATATAAGACAGCACAGTTGTGATAAGGTGATAAATGAGCAATGGAAGAAAATACACACAATTTTATATAGAAACGAGCCAAAAGTGTTAATAATGTGGCGAATGAAGTTCAGAGCTTCAAACATAATAAAATTTAAAATACTCTTCAATCTGCTAAATGACAGTTAAAACTAATAAACATTCAATTTTGCTGTACCTCATAAGTTAACTTTTGAATTGTGCAAAACTTTATAAAGTTACGTGACACACAATAAAAAGTATATTTTGAAACTATGACTATTCTCAGGGAATGTGCAAAATTGCAGATTTGAACTCGGAAAAAAACATTTTCACATTCAGCAATCTTCATAGTCTTAACTCTCTAACCATTACGCTACTCGGACTTAGTGTATATAGATATTTTTCTATATTTCAATAAAAAAAATGCAAAATGTAATAATTGTAGAACTTGCACAACCCATTATATCACATTGGTACGACGTCATGGTGTTCGACTTTCTTATTTTTTATAGTTATATTATAACAAAGTAGTTTATATAAACAGTAAACGGAATATTGATTTAAGAAAACAATAGCCATTCAGCACTGTCAATTTTTTTGAAACATTAAAAAAGGTGCAAATAAAAACGATTACAGTATCGATCATTATTGACAGCGATTTACACAGCAAATTACTACTAGCAACACAGGCAATAACTAGAATTGTGCCCATATGGCACTGATGCGCCCACTTTCTACATTTGCTTGATATCCACGAGTGGTATCGCTCCACGAAACTGATTTATCACAATTATGACTGTGAAAGAGCCGTAATGAAAAGAGCAAATAATTTTCTTTACAAATTTAGAAACCAATCACTTATTAAGTACAACGTGTAAAAATCATGTGTACATGCGCTTATTGAATATACATCGTATTGTAAATAAAAATGTTTTTCATGTTTAACATAATTATAGAAAGAGAACGGAAAGCATGTTGCATGACATTTGCAACCTAATCTGAAAATTACTTTAAAGGCACATTATGCCTCATAAATCTATATTTTTACAATTCTTAAGAAATGTCAACCATGTGTTTAATAATGTTTAAATAATGGATTTAGAGCATATAAGATGTTTAACAACAGAAGAAAATCTTGCTTAATGTGCAGTAATGCGTCATAAAGGTTGCAAAATGTAAACAAAGTAGTAATTTGTCTTCCATACAAAATACTTATTCACAATGTAATTTATACTAATTGCCAACAAAGTAAATAAAAGTAAAAGAAGTTAATTTATGTGGCAAACGAGTATTAAATAAAAGTTTTTTGAGAAATAAATATGATAGCATTTCTGAGGCATAACGTGCCTTTAAACTGCAGTCCGATTTTTTTACTTGGAACTGATGCCAAAATTGACAATTGAAGAAAAAGGTAAAATTTACGCCAACGATAGTATCAATATAAATATATGTAGGTAGAAATTTTGCCTCCTTACAGCAGTCCGGTTAGCTTAGGTTCCAGTCTGTCGATTTTTATGTACTTCTGTCGGCAAAAAAGATAATAGCGTGTAGAAGGAAGTCCGCTCGTATAGAAACAACTTCCAAGGTTTTACAAAGTGTTTGATAAAATGGCTCATATACTGAAGGTATCCAATATTTTGTGGCAAATTTATATTTCCCTCCTTAGACTGACATATATTTCAAAGAAATTGATACAGAAATAAAATACTTACTGCTCGTACTTTTCTTTTTTAATACTTAAAATGGTGCAGAAAATCACGTCAATGTCACATGGTATTGCTAAAATGCGAATATCACCCGTATTTAGAAAAAAAAATCATGTAACTGAATCATTGCATTTATTTGTTATTGAAAAAATGCCCTACGGATATCCTCACATACGGCTAGAACTCCCGAACTTTAGGCTAGCCGTACGGGCCCGTACCCGATCTATTACATGTATTCTAAATTGAAATGGATTTTAATAAAACAAACGTTTTATCAAACTATATGAATAATATTTTATTTGGATTTATTAGTTACCATTTTGATAATTATTATTTAACAATATCAGAGGCCAGACAAATACTTACAGGTATATCTAACTGTTTCACAGTTATACCTAACTGTTTCTTTTATTTGTACGACAAAATATGACGAAATCACTACTTGTAAACTAAAAAATAGACACCAAAAGCCAGTGCTCACAATGCAAGAAATGAATCACAGTATTTTGAGAACTGTACGTTTAAGATAATCATTTAGTGGCGCGGCGGTCAAGTCCACTATTATGGTGTAAACAATTATCACATTGTGTTTATTATCTGTAGACAAGCAGGCTTGCCATATAAATTGAAATATCGGCAAATTTACCAACTTTCAGCGTAACGCAGTGGGTAAGATTGTCAGATAATCTTATAGTTAATTATCAATGCAAGACTGGTTCGGATTGTACTTTTTTCGCGAAAATAATAATCATTTTCTGTAAGACGAATACATGTATGTTATATTTCTTCTTGACGTAAGGAAATGTTAAGTGTATTGTTGAAATACTTGTGCGTTGCACAAGTACATGACTACTGCAATATATACAATACACAGGATAAAAAATATTATTACCGGTATATTAAAATCATAAGATAGTATAACAAAACTACCTTTATTTTCAAATGCATGTGCATCTTTAGTAAACTTGGAAAAAATAGGGAAAAAAGTTAGAAGAGAGACTGGAACTCGTGAAAATTTTCAGTTGTATTGCTTTCCAATGACTTAACCAACTTTGCCATCAAGATATTTAAAATTCATTTTTTTTATCTTGAACTGAAAAACCTGTGAACAATAAAGTAAAGGGAGCTTATCAGGACATAAAATCAATAAAATGAAGCGTGCGTGATTTAGTGCCCTTGTTAACTTATTTATAGAAATTATATAAAAGTGAAGGATAGCCAAAGGGAAGCAACCTGTAGATCTTAAATTTATAACTTAATTCAGTTATAAAAATGATAACTGCTATAAGTTACACCCCTGAAGCGAGTACC